AGGGCTCGAACACGAGACCACTGGTTAAGCTGGAAGAGACCCAAGTCATCTCATCCAAGCGCTCTTGGGTATATTACAATATTTTTTAGTATTTATACCATATATTGATAGATAAATGTGTTGTTCTTCAATCATGATTGATAAATATTTAATATTTTATTAATAGAGATGATAATCATTTTATTTTATATATCATGTGAATCTCAAATTATAAAGCGTCAAAATATACTAATTTAATTTATAATATATAAAAAATGATAACGTATATAAGTGCTATTAAATTTTAGAATGTATTTATAATTCAAGTTTGTCAAGCATTTAAAATTGAAAGTTTTAGAATATTTATATGGATTATTTCGAATCCTTAGAAATTAACATATAAATTACAAAGCGTGGAAAGTTGATAGTAAAAAATTTTACATTTGGTATATAAGAAGATAATTCATAGGAACTCTTAATAAAATAACAGAAACAAAAATAATGACAATTAGACTTTTTTTAAATTAATAAATTATATTTGAAAATGACCTGTTTATAATTTATTACAAAAAAAATGAAGAAACAAGGGTTGTAAAATATTTTTTTTATTTCTTAATAATAATAAAAATGCAAAATAAAATAAGCATACCACATACTAAATTTCATATTTTAGCATTAAGTCAAAGACAAATTGAATAGGGAACCCCTCAACACCCGATTGCTTCAATAATTTATTTAATTCTTAATATAAGTACTTTGTGTAATATGGTTAATTAAATTTTTACTATTTTTAGCCATATCTCATAAAAATTTATAGATCCGCCTTTGCTTTCTGGTCCAATTTAATAGCAGCAATCCCTTTTTTTTAAGCACAAAATAAAAGTATTACTTTATCCAAAAAAAAAAAATAGTGTTCACCAAGACAATTAATCAATATAACGAGATGATTATAAATCATTTTGTTCACTATTTAAAGTTCTATTTTAATTTTATAATTTTCATTAAAATTTAGTTACTCGTATTACATCTTATCAGCTACTTTAATTAATGCAAATATGATTTTTCATCTCGACTGATGGGTCCATCTTTGATTTTCACATGTAACTCAATAGCATGATGATGTTGCTACTAAAAATAGTAACTGACAAAATCATTCATAATGGAAAATAATTATGATGATTTATCCGACCTCTATATATGTAAGCCCATGATATAATAAATAATTTATCTATTTTTATACATCATCACCATATTCGTTAATACAAGTGTCCATTGTCCTTGGATGTACTTATCATAGGCTATTTTTAGTAGACAAATAAACTAGCTTATAGCTTATTTGGTTAACTTATAAACTCTTTATGTTCAAATAAGCCTCGATTTGGTAGGACGAGTTTTTTTTTTTTTTAAAGCTCGAGCTTATTTGATAAGCTTTCTTATGTACCTTTGCAGATAAGCTAATTGAATTTTTTATTCCAACTAGCTTATCAGCTAATTTTACCAAGCACTTTAACTAGATTTTCAGTTATAAGTCATAAGCAATAAGCTACAAGCTAAAAAATTATTGACAAGCTATAAGATAATTTGTCAGATATCAGCTAGTTTTACCAAACATAGCCTAGTATAAAAAATCATCAACATTGTTTTAGGTCGTCACTAAAATCAAATAGGCAAGTATTGAATAAAATGTTATGTTTGGTAGACAAATAAGCTAGCCTATATCTTATTTTGTTAGCTTATAAGCTTCCTATATTTAAATAATCTTCGTTAGCAGGACGAGCTTTTTTTAAAAAGCTCGAGCTTATTCGATAAGCTTCTTTGGGTATCTTTTCAAATAAACTCGTTGAAATTTTTATTCCAGCTAGCTTGTTAGCTAATTTTACCAAACAATATTAACATGTAAGCTAACTTTTCAGCTATAAGTCATAAGCTATAAGCTCACAAATTACTTATTAGCTATAAGCTAGCTTATCAGCTATCAGCTAGTTTTACCAAACATAGCTTATGATATTTCTAAACAAATCTATTAATATATAAAAAGACAATGATATTTACTTGCAATAGTAAAAAAAAGTAAGTAAAAAAATATTTGGTTTCCCGCCTCAAGATTCAAATTTACTAAATTGGATAATTTTTTTTGCCAAAATTTGAAAATCTCGCCTAAACTAATGTAATTAATGTACATAATCATTTTGGTCAAATATTACGGCTATTACTTTTATTAGTTGCATGATTTAAATTTAGAATATAATATATTTACAAAACTTGCAGCTATTACCTTTATTAGTTGCATGGTTTAAATTTAGTATATAATATATTTAAAAAAAAAAAGATAAAAAGTTTTTTATTTAATATTAGAAATCAATAAAATAATTATTCATAACTTACGGGTTAATATTAACTTTGACGTAAACAAAATAGTCAATTATTTATAGTTTAATAAATTACTCAGCTACTTTTTTTTTTATTTGAATAGTTTTTACAAAAATAAATTATTTTAAGTAATGAAACAATATAAATCTTATATGTATACATATTATTCACATAGATTGTTAAATATATAATAAAATTTTACTAAAATAACTATTTTATAGAATCACATTATAGTCAAATCGAATTTTCATTTTTTTTTTTTGAAATGATACTTATTTTGAAACGAATATAATGTAATTTATTATCAATTATTTGCACCGCACGAATTGTGTACTAATTTTAAATAGACATTTTTATATAATTTTGCACAATTTAAACTTTATATAGATTTTAAATAAATTAATATAGCTAAATTGTATTACATAAAGATTCAATTGTATAAATATTAATGAATATCTCTTATTGCACTGGACTCATACTAGTTATATTAACACGAAACTAGTTATATAACACGAAGCAATGAATGACAATATAAAGAAAGTATTAATCAATCAAATGCAACTAAAAACAACAATAGATTACAACATTACCAAAAAACATCAATCAAAGCCGCCTGGCAGCAACTTGGATGATCTCGTTGTACCGAGTCGTGAGCCAGCAGTTGAAATAACTCGTGATGGTGATACAACTTGAGCAGCAGACAAATTATAAGAATCTATTCCCAAGCGGCTCTGGAGCCAGCCTTTCCTCCCCGAGAAACCATCGTCTATAATCCAACAGTTGTTGAACCCGAGTCTCGTCAAGGTTCTCGCTACGGTTTTAGACGAATCAGAATAGCTGTTGTTTTGTTTAAATGTTAATAAATAAGCAAAATCACTGCTCGGATAAAGAATACGATCGGATATTGCTTCACTACAAGACAACTGAATAATATTAAGAAAACAATTAGGAACGCAGGGATTAAAAACGACTGAGATGTAAAAATATTAACATTGATTGCTAACTAGAAATATGTGTGTTCTTGATAACATTAGTTTATAGGAAAACGACGTAAAGTAATGATTGATTTTTATTTTAAATACTGTGATGTTCGATTACGATAGAATTTTGCTGAGAAAATATGAGATCAATGATTAGTGTTTTTTTTGGAAAGTACAATATCAAATTGAATGAAATAAAATGATTTTGTATCTAATATCTAATCACACGTAACGTCTTCGAACAGTCCAGGTAAATCGTCACTAGGAATCTCAAAGTGGAGAGAGAGAGAGAGAGGGAGAGGGAGAGGAGGAGAGAGAGAGAGAGAGAGAGAGAGAGAGAGAGAGAGAGAGAGAGAGAGAGTTGCACTTACGAGTCCAATATTACAATGTTGGAACCTTTATTGATCTTCTTTAGGTAAGATATCTTAAGTGCCACCATTTCAGCTTCGACTTTCTTGGCACTTCTTACAAGACTTTGGAGCTTGTTGGGCAACTCTTCTAAACTGAAAAAATTAAACACAAGTACAAATTATAGTAGTTAGTGTGGCAACAATTTTAGCAAACGTGTGAGTGTTCAGCTAATCTCATAATTCTATTTCTACTTTCTTAATCCCTCTTAGTTTTACCGAGTACTTCAAATATATTTATTTATGTCGCTTATATGCTGCAGTTCTCTCGGAATTTACTTATGTATAGAGTATGTTTCTCTCTTCTTTTTAGTTCTTATATAGTTTTATTTAGAAGAATAAGCACCAAGACACATTTGCAAAGTATTGAGAGTCACGCAACAGTTAAAAAAAATTATTCAATACCAACAAAACGGGTCTTAGTACAAAAGTACTCACGGAATGGATATCAACTTGTTCTTGGCACTTGGAGGAAAGCGCGGAATACCAGCCTTGGCTTTATCCTTCTCTGATCTTATATCAACCATAATATAGTTCATTTTGGACATCAGATCCAAGGCTTGAGCAGGAGACAAGTCACCTGCAGAACAATATACAAAAAAAGAACTGGAAATATTGAACAAATTATATAGAAAAAATACAAGTGTCCATGCCTTAGATGCGGTTGGATGAAAATTTTAAGAAGAAAGTTGGAGATGTTCCCTGTCAACTTCTTCTGACGTGGAAAAATCAAAAGAGTGTTTGAGAATTCATGCAATGGTGTAAAATTACACCACTTGTTTCTATGTCAACAAAAGAGATGCTTATAAAACTCAAAACATGAATTGATAATGAACATAGAGTATTAAATAGTACATAAATAATAAAGGAAATCTCAAATACAGCAAAAAAATTATAGACAAACGAATATCAGTTCATGAAACATTACGAAACAATATGATGCAAGACTTCCCTTAGATGTAATATATGACAAACACTGCAGAGAGGGCTTCTCGGTTTATTTGATAGCATAAGGATGGGGTCACGCACTGGAGAAAGGTGGGCAGAGGGAATATGGGGAAGAATGTGAAAGAAAAAATAAATAATATTATATCAGTTCCATCAAATAATACAAGAGCTGAAAGGCACTGTCTTAGTGCACCAATCATTGTTTATAAATCCTATGCAACTATTCAGAATACATGTAAAACTCAATGTTTTTAACATAATTCTATTGAACCTTCAAATGTGCGTTATTCTGAACGAGCCATTTAACTAACTGTCAAAGATTTCATGCAGCATGGAAAAAATATCACACTTCCAACAAAAACTAGAGCAGATAATACCCTGGTAACCCCGAAGGCTGAAGGATATTGTAGAAAGGACTGGAGGAAGTAACAAATATCCAAAAACTAATGCACCCAAAATTAAAGCAGGCTCTGCCGATGAGATGGTTTCAACAGTGGAAACAGCTATGGGCTTTGCCTCCTCAATCAACTTCGTTGTTTGCTGAGCAGCGTCAACAAACGTCTGCGGAAAAATCATCATTCGTAATAATGTGACCGAAGATTATTATAACAAAGCTTATCTACTTTTTCTCATGGTTCTAGAAAACACAAAATTTAAACATTATTTTCCTAATGATCCTTTGTAAGTTGATAATTATTCCATTTTCATTGTTTTATGTTGTAGATGATAACCACTCAAACTAAAAAAGGGCATAAAAAGATTTCTTAACTTCCTAATTCAAAGTAAAAAGTTTGCGGGACTGGGGACAACATAAACATCAACTATGTCTACCTTCAAACGCGCACTTTTAAATGCAAGTTTCGCATTTCAAGTCTCTACACATTCCAACATGGAATTTGTACTCTATGTATCAAATAAAACAGAACTGAGAATACGCAGATATTGTATGAAATATGAATGCAGTATTATCGCAAAATAGTATCCTTACTTTGTTATGTCCATGATCTACAATAGTAATTATTATAAAACTGAGTTTTCTAAAAAAATAATAAGGACTAACCAACTTTGGTAGGAAATCCAAATTTTATATCATGCTAAAATTTGAATTCTTACCCAAAACTTTTGAATTGGACTAATCATAAACATGCTGAAATTTTTGGATTACAATTTAGTGACATATATTGAAAATTTGAAGTTTTTGCCCCAAAAATAAAATTGTGCAAATAAACTAATGCTAAGATGGGCCAAAAAGTCAGAAATTTAATCTCCAAACTTTAAGATTGACATTATAGTCTCTTTTTAGGACATTTGTTTTTCAAATTTATCCACTTTTGAAACTCGTTTGGTTCACTGTTAAAAAGTTAAATGATCCTAACATTTTTAAGCATAGCAAAAAATTGCTTGCGCTATTAAAATTGGATTGATTTTTTAACTTCTTACAATTTTAGATCAAATCTCCAAGCAAATAAATTATTTTTTTAATAAAGATTAAAGAGACATTTATTTTTAACAGGCTTTGGAATTTCAGGATAATGAAATTTCAATTGGGGGGATACATTTCAAACAGGTCCTTTCAAGGACAAAAGTATAAAATAACAAACCGTCAGCAAATTTAAGTTGTACCAAGTACAAGAGGTAGAATCTTCATTGCATATGGTGAATTTATACATATATTTTAAGGGGCTGAAACAAAAATTCATTTTGGATCACAAAAGAGAGAGAGGAGAGTTAGTACTAGCTATACTTGTAGTTATGAAGTTTTTGTTAAGAATTAGGAACATAAAATTCAACCATGTACCACAATCAAGTAGCATTCTTCCTAATTAATCGTCTACCTTACCTTCTCCTCACTATTATATCAGTACCACAATTTTATTTTGATTAAAATAAGCAAGGATAAAGTTGGAAAAATAGTGATAAACGACCTTCAATTTATAACAAAATTGAACCTCTGAAACAAAGTTCAGAACATAACAGAGGGATTAGTAAATTCAATCAAATCAATATTTGGCAAAGGCAATGTTGTGTGGGCATAAGAGCATCTCCAATGCTATGACTTTGAAAGGCACTGATTTTTAACACATGTCAGTCAATGATCGTAATGTTAATCCACATAGGAATAATGTTAAAAGGCTAAAAATTAAACAAACTAGTATTGTAAATGCATCAATTTGATGAGAAGTTATTTGTATAGTTGGACCAATTAAAATAACTCATTGAAACAAGAATAGTTAAAAATTGAACCAAATATAAAGGGAGTTCATGAGATATCATGTTCATCATGATGTTAGATACTATAAACCGGGCTCAACATTGTCAACATCAAATGCCATCCACTTCGGAGAATAAATTAGTAACACACTTTCAAAAGTTGATGATGATATGGATGATTGTTTATGATGCCAAAAGCCACATTGGAGATGCTCTAATGCTAGAAAATAACGCATTTTGGAGTATGCCTTAGCTGCATTTATCATCGGCTGAGTGTCGATCCCAGTACTCTGAATGGCTTCCTGTGCTTTATTGGAAGCATCTGAAAGCAGAGGAGAAGCGATCTTCACAACCTGCTTTCCAGCTCCCTCTAAGATGGGCAAAGCCACGTCAATACCCGGCTTCGCAGCCTTCGTCACAGCCCCAAGCACCTGCCCTGCACTACTGAAAAAAACCGACCCCAACTCTTGGATTCCATCGATTGTCGACTCGACCTGGAGAGAAAAGATCAAAGAAACTCTCTTTAATCAACCTCTAAATGAATGGCTGCAAAATTTCCAAAAAAAAAAAATAGGCTCAATCAAACAAAGAAAGTAAACTGAAATTGGGGATAATTCAAAATTGAGAAGATTGTGGAACGAACCTGAGTTAGAGTAGAAACAATCTGGTCTGTAGGAAGAACCTGAGCTCGGGCTTCATGAGGAGTTGGAAAGAGAACAAATAGAGGCAGAATCGCAGTTGCAGAGAGTGATAAGGGATTGGGTAGGGTCAATTGGTGCGACCTTGACGATGTGTTGAATTTAGATGGAGCAAGAATTGATTTGGGTGGCGGGGCGGGCGAAGTCGGAGTAGAAGGCAAGGGCACGGAGGATGAAGCTCTCAAGGCCATAAGCTTCACACCTCTCTCTCTCTCTCTCTCTCTCTCTCTCTCTAAAAGTTTGTGGTTGGTGTCTGTGTTTATAT